GGTAAACGACATGGGTTCTGGGTCAAAATGCGAGAGAGTGGTCCAGATTTAAAGCATGAAATGACAGTTTGACATTTGAGAAGATGTTACAGATACCGTCTGTCAAACAACACCGTGATCCGAATCTTTCGGAGCAGACAAGTGTGCGTGTCTTTTTTTTATTGTTTTGTAATACAAGTACGACATGGAGAATCTTCAAGATTCTAAAGAGGTGATTGGTCGATCCCTTCTGGCTGCCTGTTTGGCTTCCCCATATCCCTTTTCAAAAAGTCACTTGGCCGCTTGAAACGACGCCTCCGCTATATATATATATATTTTTTAATATTTTCAATTATTTATTTAAGCATAATAACAAATAAAAATACTATATTATATTATATATTACGTTAAATATAAATTTGCTTAAAATTTATCTAGTGCATTTTAATCGGTGCATTTTACATATTTGTTTCATAATATGATGGCAAAACTCTTATTTGAAATACTAAATGATATTTGATCTCATAATAATTCGATATATAGATTTGTAGTGATTCATATTTAGTAGTAGTTGATTTTATGTGTTGGGTTTTAATTTAATATGCCATTAAAATAAATGATATTTTATCCTTATCACTTTACTCATGCGCAATAAAATGAATTATGTATGTATATATATATATATATATATATTTATATATTTCATTTAATTATTAAAATTTATAATTTGTACTAAAAAATATTACTTTGCAAGTTCTTTAAGAAAATTTTGATTTTGATTTTGATTTTTTTACAATTAAATTAGTACGAAACATCTACAATAGAATAATGTTATAATTCATTATTACTATTATTAATTGTAATTAAAGTTATTATTAATTTAAATTTTCATAAAAATAAACTTTTAACTCAAGTTGATAATAGTTTAGATCTCTGAGCTTCGTATTTCTTCTATAAATTTTGCTTGCCTTTTGTAACACACTGGTGCTATAGAATATAAAATAATTTCAAAGAGTTTAGATATCACTAACTTTGTGTTCAAAAATTAATAACTTAATTCTTTTTTTTTTAATTTATTAAATAAAAATTCGTATAATCTTATTAATTAAGTGTCATATATTTATCAATAGGAACATACATTCTTAATTAATAAGCACGCAAAGGACTCTTAATAATAAAATACATAATGGGTAATTTATATTTTAAAACACGCGATCCTCATATTTAATTATTTCTTTTTAATTAGTCATAATGTAGGCTCCAACTTTTAGAAAAAAAAAAAAAATGCTGGCCAAATCTTTGATTAAATTAAAGTGCGAATCTTTAATTTAGGGCCACCAAATAATCATACACTTTGGTTTATGTTTTGGTACATGCATTTAACTTTTACCTACAATTTTATGGTTTTTTCTTTTTATGATGTTTGATGGAATGAAATTAGTTACTTAATTTAGTAATATATTTATAGAATTGTAATGATTAATTTAATAAAAATAATATATCATAATGATTAATTAAAATTATTACTGTTGGTATATTTTTAAAACTTATAAAATAGAAGAAAATACTGGCGGCTTTGAAAGAAAAAATGAAATCGTCTGGATTTGTAGGGAGATCGAAATGTAATTATTATAAACGACTATAACTTTGTTTGCCATCAAATATCCGTTAGACTACTACAACTAACTATTTTATATTTTGAGTCTTTTCCCCAATTATTTTGATTGCTTTGTTATTTGTTAATTAACTAGTAACTAAGAATGATTTTTTTTTTAATTAAAAAAAATAAAAATAAAAAGTATAGATTTAGCTAGGCTTAATAAATTAATTAAAACTGCACATTTCACTATAACAATTGATTAAACTATTACAAAAAAAAAAAAATAATAATTAAAAATTTGTGTTTTATATATACATACGAAAAGAAAAAAGAAATTAAAAAATGTTAACCAATCCAACATGGGACTTATGGAAGAGCTTGTATGGGAACGAACTTACACTAACCATCGTGTTTTTTTTTTTTTTTTTTTTTTTTTTTTTTCTGTCAAAGTTTTATTATTATAATATTCTTATTTAATTTATTTATTAAAAAAATAATTTAATTTCTTATGTTAATAAAAACTTTGGTTATAAATTTATAAAATGTAATAATATCACATAATTAATAAATATATACGAAATAAAACAACATAAGTAGGAAAATAAAATTCAAAATCAAGCTTAATTATATAAAAACTATCAGGAGTTTTTATAAAAAAATATTAATATAAATTTTTTCATTAAAAAAAAAAAAAAAAAAAAAGTAATGGTTATGATGACATCACCAACATAATAATAAGAATAGTAACATTTTGATGATACAGCAGTGTTTTATGGGTTGTATACACTCTTGTTGTAATCGTCGTTGACCACGTGATGGATCGTCGAATTAGGTTTATGCAAATCCAGTTGTATGTCTGAAGCTTAGTCATCGATCTTTAGCAAACTAAACCAATCAGCGATCTTATCTCTCAATTTTCATCATACATGATGATGATCTTAACTCTAATCCACATCATCATCATCATCATCAAATCATTATCGTCGTAATGTTCATGCATGTAAAGTTGTCCACTACTCATTGTCCTTCCAAGAAACCAGGGTACGTGGGACCCTCTTCTCTATTTCCTAAATTTCCTTTCCCCTTGGACCGCCGCCTACCCTCGCCCCGTTGCCGACTATAAAT